ACCTGATACCAAAACACCCCTCTCCTATGGAACTAGATTTGAATCATAGTAGAAATGGGGTTTCCGAACTACTAAGAGTTACTCTTCAAGAAATGGAGGAATAATGGCTTACACATCTCATGTTTCTGCCTCTCTGGGCGAAGTGTTTCTTTAGCAGCCATTGACAAGTGATCACTGTCAATGGGCAGCCAATGCACATGGCACTGGAGTCCCCTTCTGCATCCGCTGTCGCAGCATCCCATTCTTCCCCTTCTCTCAAAGCTCCAAAGAAGGGATCAGAGGGATGGAAGGGCACCCCCAGCACTAACGTGGGGGAAGCCAGTGGATGTTTAGGAGGGAACCACTTTTCTCTTAGCTTCGATATGGTCAACCTGGGGATCTTGTTAAAAATACAGGTCAGTAGAACCCAACCCAAAGACTCACTCAGAAAGCTCAATAAGCTCAAGAATCTGTATTTCTAGTAAACAATCTAAATAATTCTGGTACAGCCAGTTAAGACATAGAACCCCTATTGGATACAGCCTCTGCTTTGTAGTGTGGTGTAGGAGATCTTCAATGATGTGGCCCTCCCTCCCTCTTGACACTCCTCTCCAGTTCCACCTCCCCACTGTATTGTATACTCCAGCAATCCTGAAACATATCCAGCAATCCTGAAATACTACAAAAAAATATTTGTTGCTGTGAAGAAGTGCCTCGGCTCACATTGTCCTGTCCATCTGAAACGTATTCACCTCTCTGCCTGGCAAATACCTGTAATCAGGGGTCAGCACAAGCCTTTCCTCCTTGAGGAAGCCTCCCTGACTGCCCTAAGCCAAGCTCAGAGCTCCACTTCCTTTTGCCACATCCCCCACCACATTCTGCACACTTTTTCAGCATAGCAATCTTCCCATTTCCTTGTCATGGTTGAGTCGCATGTCTGACTGTCCATCTAACTAGAACTGTTGCTTGGAAGAGAGTATCTCTTTTCTTCTTTGGTTTACTAGGGCGTTAATGGTGCTTGGCACATGACCGTGTAAGATTCTCAGTAAGTGTTTGCTAAGTATGTAAATAATGAAATCAACATGGCCTCTCTGCTAGGCTTTTACTGTCTTCTGTTCATCCACAGCTTTTTAATCTTCAGAACCAAATATGCTGAAGCAAATTCTTTATGCAAAAGGTATTAAAAATTCCCATATGATTAAAACATTTTAAATCAAATTGGACTGATATTTCCCAATGGTACAAAAGTCAAAAAATATCTTGCGAATCATTGTTCGAAATGGTAAGAAATATAGGCTGGGCAAGGTGGTTCGTGTCTGTAATCCCAGCACTTTGGAAGTCTGAGGCAGGTGGATCACTTGAGGTCAGGAGTTCGAGACTAGCTTGGCCAACATGGTGAAACCTCGTCTTTACTAAAAATACAAAAATTAGCCAGGCATGGTAGTGCATGCCTGTAATCCCAGCTACTTGGGAGACTGAGACAGCAGAATCACTTGAACCTGGGAGGCAGAGGTTGCAGTGAACCAAGACTGGCCCACTGCACTCCAGCATGGGCTACAGAGTGAGACTGTCTCAAAAAAAAAAAAAAAAAGAAATAAGAAATACAACATCACATATTCATGAGGAAAGGGTAAAGTGTCCCAGATTAAAGTCCTAGGGGATCAGGGAGGAAGGATCAACTTATAAAAACCTTCAGTGAGCCTGAAAGAAACAGAACTGAAAATATTCAGCAATTATTTTGTGAATGTGACTTCCAAATCCAAGTCTAAGAAGATGTATCAGAGCTTCTTGATATTCTTGTTTCCGTTTAGATTGTCATTTTACTTTATTATGAAGCTTTGTTCATAATTTGTGTGTAATACAAATTACTATGCTTTCTATTTAGCAAATTACCAGGGGCTGGGACCCAAAGCACTGTTTCAAATTTGTTTTATCACCTGTTTGCCTGCACAAACCCTCAGAGCCTAACTCACTCTCACCAAATTCCCTTCTATTGCCTCCTTTACTTCAGTGTTATTGGAAGCCAAGAGAGTTAGCTGTGACTTTTCAGGGAGCATTCATTGTTGGATTTTTTTTTTCTTTCTGTACATGCCTTGGTGAAATAAGGTCCTAATTAAAACTTGGATCACTGATTGTTTTTCAGATGGTGAAAAGGCCGATATATCTGCCAATGTCTATCCAGACATAAACATCATCACTGGAGCCCTTAAACTGTATTTCAGAGACTTACCCATCCCTGTCATCACATATGACACCTACTCCAAATTTATAGATGCAGCAAGTAAGTACTTCAAATTAATTTATTATTTGTACCGAATTTTTAAGTACAATGCTTTTGACCTTCAGAAAATTAAAACTCAGAACTGTTGAAATCATTGCATTTGTAACTGTCTTGCCAAGTGAGGACACTGCAGTACAGCTGACTGACAACCAGACATAGTTCAACAGCTGAGGTGAACCAGTACTAAGCCAACCCTGTGGGCAGACGTATGTGTCAGCCAGTTCTGCCCCCATCGTTCCTTGTATGCTGGGACCCAACACAGTCAGGCCTATTCTATGTGGAAAGCATGACTATTTCTGTAGCAGAAAAAAATCTTCAATGAGGACTGACTGGATCAAGGGTATCCAATCTTTTGTCTTCCCTTGACCACACTGGAAGAAGAATTATTGTCTTGGGCCACACATAAAATACACTAACATTAATGATACCTGATAAGCTAAAGAAAATATTTTAAAATCTTATTATCTTTTAAGAAAGCTTACAAATTTGTACTGGGCCATCCTCAAAGCTGTCCTGGTCCAGATGTGGCCCACAGGCTGCAAGTTGGACAAACTTGGTCTAGATTAACTACTTTTATCTGTTAGGCAGAATCTCATTTGCTAATCAATTAAAGTCACAACCAAGTTTTGTCTATTCATTCGTTCAAAAATAATAGAAGGCCAGAATACTCTGTGTCAAGTACTATACTAGAATGTCTCACCAGCATCTTCTAGTTTTGTCCTCTCATGTACTCCATGTGGCAAATATTATAATCCCATTTACCAGAGAAGAAAAGCGAGGCTTAGAGAACTGAGGTCCTGGGTCCCGGAAAGGGACATCAGCGTTTGCCTTCCATCAGCCCAGGGTCGCTCATTCAGTGTTCTGTGCTTGGACCCACTGCTGTAGGAAAGAGGAACACAGTGAAAGGCAGGTGTGGAGGAAGGGACTTACACTTTGCCCAGAAGAGGCAAAAGTGACCAAAGGGAGATGGAGATGCCGAGATACATAACACAGAGGTCAAGCTTACTTTGAGGAAGTTTTTGCTTGTTTTTTAAAAACAAAAACAAAAACCTTTGAAGGTTGAAAGTTTAGGTATGCTGTTAAATATAGTAAAGAGAGGCCTGATGGGAAGACACAAAAGCAGGCTGGGATCAGTGCGAGATGCACTTTTCAAATGAGCTGAGGCCCTGACCCCAGCAAGACTATTCCCTCCTTCCAGGGCCCTGGTGATCCTCACAAAGAAGGTTGTGTAGCACCTGGGTAGCCTCCACTCCAGCAGGAATAGCAGGAACGTTTTCTTTGAGTAGCTGCCAATACCTGTCAGAGACCCAAAAACCAGAAGCATGCACTCTTCCTCGCATTGTTAATATGTCCAGTCTCCACTTCCTAACCTGGGCTGTGCACTGGGGTTAACATGCCACCACCACGGTGAGAAGTGCCATGAGTGCAGGCTGAGTTGGGTGGCTCATTGGCAATGTCCTTGCATTGTAAAGTATTAGGTTATAGAAGCTGGCCAGGGAAAGACTCATTAGACAACTTGACAAACATTTTCAAGTTTAAATGAAAGCTTGTAGGAGTGAGATTTCTAGCAAATCCAGTGTTAAAAAGACAGCAAAGCACAGTCTGCATACGTGCTGTCAGACTGTATGCATTCTCCTGACTTACACATTCATGGAGGGCAAGCCTCCAGCCACCCACACTGAGGACATTCAATTAGCATGTGGTACTCAGACTCAAAACTCTTTCCTAATGACGCAGGACACCAACAAACTGATTAAGTGAAACAGTGCTTAGGTTGCATGAATTTATTAGAATCCTTCCCCCATTTCTGGCCAAAGCAAACACAAACTTCTTGTTACTTCTTTGAAAACGTGAATGCCACAACTCTGAACTAATATCCATCATGCGTGAACTTCACAGAAATCTCCAATGCAGATGAGAGGCTGGAAGCCGTCCATGAAGTACTGATGCTGCTGCCTCCTGCCCACTATGAAACCCTCCGGTACCTAATGATCCACCTCAAAAAGTAAGCTGATGCCTCGTGCGCAAAGCCCGATCTCCCTCTAGGGCAGTTAATGCATAAGGAAAAGTGTATGCCATTCCTCCCCAGCCCACTGAGGGGACAACAGTGTCCAGCCCCAGCCATAACTGCCGGAGCTTCACTGTGCTGGGAGCCACCCCAGGCACTTTCAGTGTATCGTCCCTACGAAAGGGGCACTGCTAGGGACCTTGTGTCACTTGCGAGATTGCTGATGCTCGGGGAGGTTACGTAGCTGATTTGAAGAGGTGAAGCCAGGATCTAAACCCAGGCAGGCCGATGCAGAGCCTGACCCATTTGCCTGCACTGCCTCCGTGTCTTCCTCTGACACAAGCCCTGTACCCTGTGTCCTGTTCTTCCCCCTGTTTGTCCCCTTCTAGGCTCCTGAGCCCACCTGCCTTCTGGGAGAGCACATTCCCAACCTGATTTCTTATTTTTCTGGATGTATGAGTTCTCTGTCATGAAGTCACAAATTGCCCCCAAAACTCAGTGTCTTAAAACAGTAAACATTTATTATCTCAGTTTCTAAGGGTCAGGACTCCAGGTATGCCTCAGCTGGCTGCCTCTGATTCAAGGTCTGTAATGAGGCTGCAGTCTCTTCTGAAGGTGTGATGAGCCTATAATCCCAGCTACATGGGAGGCTGAGGCAGGAGACTTGCTTGAACCTGGAAGGCAAAGGCCACAGTGAGCGAAGATTGTGCCACTGCACTCCATCCTGGGCAACAGGGTGAGACTCTGTCTCAAGAAAAAAGAATTCACTCTTGAAGGCTTGATGGTGGTAGCATCCGTCTCCAAGCCTGCTCACATGGTTGTTGGCAGAATTCAGTTCCTTAAAGGCTGTTGGACTGAAGGCTTCACCTCCTCGCCATCTATTTGCTGGAGGCAACCCTCAGTTCCTTGCCATGTGCGTTTCTCCATAGGCAGCTCACAGGAAGCCAACTGGCTTCTCGCAGAGCAAGAAAGCAAGAGCACCCAGTGTGAAAGTCTTTCTGTAACGGAATCAGAAGTGACATCCTATTATTGCTTTTGCCATGTTTTGTTAGAAGCAAACCAAGTCCAGCCCATACTCTAGGGGAAGGGATGCAGGGTATGAATTCCAGGAGGCATGGATCGCTAAGGACCATCTCAGAGAGTAGCTGCCACACATGGGGCTGTCTATGTGAGTGAGTGTGTGGGAGTCAGAGATGGAGACATTTGGATGTTTCCAGGACAGTAGAGCCTCTGCTGACACTCTTTTCCCTAAACCTTGTGTCTCTCTCTTTCACTGTACCTGTGTAATGAGGTCGATGAATTGGTGGTGTAACATTGGAGGAATCAAGGCACATCTGTGTGCTTCTGTGTTTTTGAAAAACACTTGGCAGCAGCCCATTCTTTGATAAAATGAACTAAAAGTTGTCTGCATTGACCGGTTTACAGATGTACTTAGTAAGTGAAAGGCAGCAAACTGAGGACTATATAAACACTAGGACTGTGTAACACTAGGTATTGAGGTTTTTATTTTTCTGCCTTACAAGACATACAACACCATTGCTCAGATTCAGCGTGATAGGTGGTGGTAACATTTAGCTTAGAATATTCCCATTTTGATTAATTTATTGAATTTGGGAATACAAGTAATTTTTAGTTTTTTATTGTGATCAATATCCAATTGTTAGAATTTGGAAGGCAAAGTATCACTACCAGAAAAAATGCTGACATCTTTCAGTTGAACCTTAAATGCCAATAATGTTGTATTTTTATCATGGTGGGTCTGCTAGCCATCTTTTTGGTCAGATGTAGTGCCTGACTTAAGAGGAAGCTGTGCGCACTTTGATGGTGAGATATGTCCTCTTTCCAACCTTCTCAGCTTTGTGGCATGTAAATGATGCAAACAGGTTGACCTTAAAATAATGCTCAGTGGCTAATCCTAATGAGTTCTAAGGAAATAGAAAGAGATGGCTTACCTATGCAAAGCCTAAACACATTTTAATTAATTACATTTTGCTCTTTTTTGGAGAACCCACTCCCTTTTACATCTGTTACAAACATTCTAAAACATAAATTTGTGAAAACAAACCTCTGGGAGGTTGTAATTTTACTCCATGAGGAAGGCGTTAAACCAACTTTGCAGTCTGAATTTTATTCTTAAAGGCTCTGCCGTTCTTATCTGGATGTCAAAATGATGATTTTTACTTTCAACTGCTGTAGACCTCATCCTGTGGGAACTAGAAATAATGCCCAACTGCCTTCCAGTTTGGCCGCATTCCAGCCGTTCCTCCACCCCATGATAATGGCCAGGCTCTTCCTAAATTCCTGACGGCCCATTCTACACATAGCCTTTCTCCTCTGCCACTGGTCCTGCCAGCAGACAGGGATCCTGCCCTCCACTTCCCACTCTCCAGCGTACAGACCAGCAGGAAGCCACAAGAGGGGGGAAAAAGCCTTCCGCTGGACCATGGCCAGCCTCAGAATCTGCTGCCCCTACAAACCAGTATTCTAGTCCTTAAGTAATAGTTCCACATTTACTTAATAAGGAGGACTAATTTTCTAATTCTAAAAATTGTGTTCCTGCCAGATTCACATAAGTAATTCATTTCCACTGGCGAAGGCGACATCAACAATTTAAAAAGAAAAATCGGTAAATTACCCTTTAAAAAAATACCTTTTTGCTATTCTGATTCCTAATTTTCTTGCAGTTTTCTGAACCAGAGATGTTCTTGGGACTTACGTACATAATCAATGTAGAAATCAATCCTCAAGTCTCCGTAATGTCTCTGTTCTGTTTTGCAGGGTTACTATGAATGAAAAAGATAATTTCATGAATGCAGAAAATCTGGGGATCGTGTTTGGGCCCACGCTGATGAGGCCCCCCGAGGATAGCACCCTTACCACCCTGCATGACATGCGGTACCAAAAGCTGATTGTGCAGATTTTAATAGAAAACGAAGACGTTTTGTTTTAACCCATCAGGGAAAGGAGCTGAATGGCCCCAGCGCCATCCAAGTTGACAAAGCTAAAGGAATAAAAACATTTCTTACACTGATTTGTTTTCCAAACAAGTGATGAAATTTGCTGGACCGCAGAGGATCGCCGAGTGGGGTACTGTGTCTCATAGACGCGCGCCACCTCCATATGAGAACAAGGGTAAAGGTGAGGAAAGCCCCTCGCCTTGGATCTTTTGCTGTGCCTCCTATGTATGTCTGGTTTGCTGGAAGAGTGATTAATACATTTTTAATTTATTAAACAATGTAGACCTTTACACTTCAGTCTTATTGGTAATAAAAGGGAACTTAATTCATAAAGGTACTTGATACAGTTACACATTTTCCACTTACAAAAAGAAGACAATTCTGTTCAATGTTAAATGCTATTATCATAAAATGTATTTTCATTTTAGCCACAAGAATGTTATTTTAGCAAATAGAAGTCAATGCAGTGCATTGGTTATTACGCTGTGTACCTTGTCCCTCATTTTGCTGTGACGCCCTGAAAATGTTGACCATGAATGCAGTATTATCTTGACATACCTCTGTCCTTCTCAGTGCTTTTTGGTGGAATTTCACCTGCCCCTTGTGTCCCTGCTTTTGATAGTTTTTGCTCTTAAGCACTGGCATCCTGCTACTGTATGGTATATATTTATAGCAATTGTAGGACAGTCTGACATGTCCACTAATTTTCTTTTTGTACCAATTTTGTGAATTCCCGAAGTATGTTTTGGAATTGGTCATAGTCTTTTGCGATCATTTTACCTAAAATTATATGAGAACACCAGATGTATCTGGTCTGTGTAAAAAATTCAGCACCTTTCCTCCTGTCTTCCTGGCCAGGCCCTCTTAATATCACATTGTATTTTTGCCACATTTCTGGATTGGTGAAAAACGAATCTGCAGAATAATTGTCAATGTTTTTCCTTTTGTTTTATAAACCTATTTTTAAAAGTGAGAATAAGGTTGGTTTATCCCAAATGTTTGTTCCTCCTTGATAAAAGTAGCTCTGGATGGATAATTTAATATGATTTTATTACTATAGTTCCATTCTCTTGGTTATATTTATCTTAGCATGAGCCTTTCACACCAAGATTTCTATATTTTGTAACATAGGTGAAATATTTAAAACATCAGCAACTGTAAATCTAGATTTTTAAAAAATCCAACTACACTGTCTTTTCCTCTGATTGAGATGATTTGTGTAAACTCAGCAGTCTTGCTTTGGAGTGGGCAGAAGAGAATGACTGTGTGTTACGCAGAGCTGAAAGGAGGACCACCATGTGACTGTTGACCTTGACAGTCCCAAGGGCTATGCAGATGGACTCCATTGGCACACGGAGGTCAGAATGCTTTGACCTCTTCCCTATTATCCCTCCTCCCAACTGTACAGACTTGTTTGTTGTAGTTTATGTACTTCTTGATACTGTCAAAAAATTATCTGGAAATGGTTTTATTTTGTGAAGTGAACAATACTTTGTAATTTATGATAGTGTAAATGGAAAACAAAGCATCACATGTATTAAATTCTTCCGTCTATTATTCTGGAGTTTGTGCAACAAAGTGGTTTGGAGGGCTGGGGGGAAGATTGTCAACATGTTGTTTCCAGATAGCTGTTGGCAACACAATAATCTCATTGAGTCCCCACTCCTGCAAGCTTCCTTCTAGAGAGCCTGCTTTAAGACTAAGGCGGCCTGGGCACAGTGGCTCAGGCCTGTAATCCCAGCACTCTGGGAGGCTGAGGCAGGCAGATCACAAGGTCAGGAGTTTGAGACCAGCCTGGAGGCTATGGTGAAATCCCATCTCTACTAAAAAAATTTAAAAAATTAGCCAGGTATGGTAGTGGGTGCCTGTAATCCCAGCTACTCAGGAGGCTGAGGCAGGAGAATCACTTGAACCCAGGAGGCAGAGGTTGCAGTCAGCCAAGATTGTGCCAATACACTCTGGCCTGGGCAACAGAGTGAGACTCCTCCTTAAAAAAAAAAAAAAAAGATTAAGGTTCTGAGGTTCCACCTTCACTTTCCAAAAGCCCCACTGCATAGATGATGGATGCCTCCATACAGAGGTGAAGCGTTTAGGGCAAACCACCCTAGGCCACTTGGCCAGTAGCAAAACATGAATTTTAAAGTCAGAAAGCCCTGAATTTGAATCCTAGATCCATCCATTTAGTACTGTCTGCATATAACCATGGGAAGTTTGCACCTCTGAAAAACTGAGGAGAATATTCTGATTGTAACATCTTAAATGAAATTTATGTTCTAGGGTGATTAGTTATTTCTTATTATTACCATTTTAGAAGGGAAAGGATATAACATGGAAGCAGGGATCGAACAAGCATAAGACGAAAACTATTTGTCCCAGGTTAAATCCAAGTCCAAATAGCACTAACGGATAACAGGGCTCCATAATGGGTAATGAGGTTCACTTGACTCCTTTTCTCAACAGTGATTCCAACACTTGATTCCCGCTTTAGTCTGAAGCCAGCTCACCCATACCTGTCTTCCCCACCATCTGGCAGCCTGACATGGCTCCCCTTACCTGGCTTGAAATTCCTGCTATTGGAGTAACTCTAGTAGTTAGACCATCAAGGAGGCAGCACAGTTTCCAGAAACTCAATGTTAAACTGTCAGTAATTGAGTTGCAGGAAGTGGGACGGGAGCAGGGTGGATGGGAGAACACAGTGGTGAGGATGCGAGGAGACCCCTTTTTCTTTCTTCCACTGACATAAATGGACATTCCAGATGACCTGGTCTCCATGGCTTTGGGGGGCTGCTGCACATGTCAAGGGTAACAGCCTAGAAAGGAAGAGAGACAGAGAAAGCTAAGGGAAGGGCAGTGAAGAGAGCATCAGAAATAAACATGTAGATGAAAGATTGCCTGGGCTGTCCTGGCTCCTATGAAAACTCAACTCAGCTTATAAATTCCCAGATTTAGCAATCCCCAGTGTGTAATCAGTCTTTTATTTTAAAAATCTAACAAACTTTTAACCAGTATGTATCAAGCGTTTATTACTGAGCCAGACACTGAATATTTGGTGGTGAGGAAAAGGCTTATCGCACTAGAAGAATTAAATAATGAATTTAGTCTGGCTAGAGAAAGGAAATTGATTATGTGAAAGGTTTTGGACTCTAAGGGGAACGGTTGCTAATGATTTTTTAAATAAACTTTTAATCGTGCAATAGTTTTCTATTTACAGAAAAGTTGCAAAGATACTACAGAAAGTTTCTATGTATCCCTTACCCGGTTTCTACCAATGCTAACATCTTACATAATCATGGTATATTTATCAAAATTAAGAAACCAACATCAGTACATTACTATAGCTGACCTCCAGGCTTTATTCAGATTCCATGGGTTTTTCCACTACTGTCATTTTCCTGTGTCAGGATACAATCCAGGGCACTACATTGCATTTAGCACTAGTGGGTTTTAAGGGCCAGATGACACAATCTGATTCATCATTTTAAAGCATGACTTGATTGTGAATGCACTGGAGAAGAGGTGAGCAGGTACGGAGTAGTGAGAGTGGATCGGGAGTCAGGTCGATGTTCATTATTGTAAAATTGGACTGATGTTGGTAGCCTGGATTGGTAGTAGCAAGGCACTGAGTTATATTTAGGAAGTAGAGTTGAAAATGTTCAGGAGAGGTTGGATTAAGAAATCAAGAATGACTTCCAGGTTAATTTGGCAATGGGGTAACATTTACTGAAACTAAGGACACAGAAAGAGGGCCTAGGGGCTACTGGGGAAGAGTGGAAGACGCCGAGAAGATAACGAGTTCCACTGTGGATGTGATACAATGGAGATACCTGTGAAATGTCCACACAGATGGTTCATAAGTAATTGCACTAACAGACTAGGCTGGAGATAGGGATTTGGGAGGGACCCACTAAAGATAACAATTGAAAACACAGGGTTGAGTAAGTACCCAGGGACATGGAACAGAGAAATTCCATCTCTGGAGGAATGCCCATCCAGAGGGAACACCAACATTCAGAACAGAGAAGAGGGCACAAATAAGGTCCATTTTAATGTAATAAAATGTAGAGAACCTTATGAGGGCAATTCAGAAACACTCTCTCCCATCTTCAGATTTGCTTCACAATGTCCTAATACATTTATTTGTTCTACTTAGATTGATTTTGCTATAAGTAAGTCATCATTTTAAATCCTGTGCTTTGGAGAGGTCGGCTTAGATGCTTTGTAAATGCAAATAAGCCAGTGGTATGATCTGAGTGTGTCCCTGCAAAATTTACGTGTTGAAACCTAATCCCCAATGCAATGGCATTTGGGAGGTGATTAGGTCATGAGGGTGGAGCCATTACAAACGGGATTAGTGTTCCTATAAAAAAGACCCCAGAGATTTCCCTGTCCTTTCCACCTTGTGAAGACACAATTAGACAACCACCTATGAACCAGGAAGCAGGCCCTCACCAGACACCAAATCTGCCAGCATCTTGGTCTTAGACTTCCCAGCCCCCAGAAGTATGAGAAATAAATTTCTGTTAATTATAAGCCATCTGGTCTATAGTATTTTGTTATAGTAACCTGAACAGATTAAGACAGCCGATGTCATTTTTTCCCCAAGTTAAAATAATTTTATATTCAAGGATCTCCATTGCTGCCTCCATACTACAGTTTGAACACACTTCCATTATAGTGTATCACAAAGTATTACACTTGTGTATACAGCTGGCTTCCACTAAAGTACAAATTCCTTGAGATCAAGAACCATGAATACCCCCTGCATGGATACCACATGGCACACTCCTACTTATTCAGCAGGGCTCAACTCAACAGCTACCTCCCCTCTATGACGTCTAGAAGTATCTCATGAGTAATTGCATATTTGTCTCCAGGCAGAGAACATTGGAGGTACCAGCCATAAGTGAAAGCATGGATGGTTTAAACACTATAAAGAGTTTAGTTTGGCTGGGCTTGGTGGCTCATGCCTACAGTCCCAGCTACTCAGAAGGCTGAGATGGGACGATCACTTGAGCCCAGGAGTTCGAGGCTGCAGTGAGCCATAATTGTACCATTGCACTCTAGCCTGAGTGACAGAGTGAAGCCCTGTCAGAAAAAAAAAAAAAAAAGAAAAAAAAGTGCTAGGTTTAACCAGAGCATGAAGTGTGAGAGGAGAGGAAGGAGTGTGAGATTAAACAGGCAGGGCTGTGTAATGGAGTAACAAAATTTGTATACCAAGCAGAAGTAGAACCTCAGGACATTCAAACTTAGATCTTTAGTTGTAGATGACACACAAAGGACAGACCAGAGGATGTAAGACTAAGGAAATGAAAGCTGATCAGGAAGCTGTCACCGGCAATGATGACCTGCACGTGATTCACAGCAGGAGGGATGGAGAAGAGGCATGGATACAAGAAATATTTTGGAGGTTGTCAAGACTTACTGATTTGATACCAGAATTAAAAGGAAAGAGTTACAGATGACACCCATTTTTTTGTTTTTTGCAACTGAGTATTTAGAAAAAAGAAGATAGGAAAGCCAGGGAGCAGGTTCAGGAGGGTGAAGTCATGGGTCTAGTTTGTGTGATGAGTCATGGAGCCAACAGTTCCCCCAAGTGGAAATGTCTGGTAGGGGCTGGACACATGGTCTTGGACCCCCAGAAAGAGAGATGACCCAGTCTGAAGGCATGGACAGCTGAAGAGAACCAAAAAGAGGACCCTGGGTAAGAACAACATGGTAAGAGCAGGAAAAGTCAGAGAACTTTGCAGGAAGATCAGCAATGGTCAGAGGACGAGGCAGAGAGTCAGGGGTACAAGAGGAAAGCAGAAAAGACTGAATTTCAGGGATGGAGAGGAAAGGTGATAAGGTGATGAGTTCCTTATCACCGTATCTGGCAACTGGGAATCACTTCTTGAGCATGGATTACTATTTTCTACTAATGAAACAATCATTAACCTATAAGAAGCAGTAGGTTTATCAGTCAGGAAAGCTTCTGCTACACATAAAATTCCGACAAAAAGGACTTAAACAATCACTACTGTTATGATGTCAACAAGAAGTCCAAATATAGGGCTGTTTCCAAGGTCGGTATTGTCTTTCTCTCTGCTCCACTGTCCTAAGCTTATTCTTATTTCCCCTTGGGTTTTGGCTCGTGGTTATAAGGAGGCTACAAAGACCACAAGTCAATGCCTTTCTCTTCTTGTGTGCCCCATTTACCAGTGAGGAAAGCTTTCCTAGGAGTCCCTGTATGGTAGACAGCAGTGATATCTGACAGCAATAACTTAAGCATACCCTGAGAATGATGCTGCCTGGAAGACACACCTCAATGTGTATTTGGACTTTCGAGAAACTGGGAGTGGCCAACTTGAAGATTAAGCTCTCATCTATGAGGAACATCTGGGCCCCTGCCCTGTCCTATGGAATGGAACAAGACCCTTTGTTTTGAGTTCAATGAAGACTGCCAGGTGAAGGTTTTTATGGGAAGGATGCTAAGTGAAAATGCTCTATAAACTGCATGCTTTTTGTAAGCGGTCCCAGTTCTGCCGGGACTGCCTCTACTAGACTGTGTGGTGTTCCTGTCCAGCCTGCTGCCACTGGACTGCTCTGTATATAAGTTTCCCACTAATAAAACTCTGTCTTGTTTACTGGCTCTGGGTATCTTCCGTGGCCTTGTGAACCTGGTGCCATCCCTACTGAATAGGGCTCCTGAATGGCATTCCCCAACATTCAACCCCTTATGTTGGCCAGAATTGCACTGCATGCATGTGATTAAACCAGTCACTAGCAAGGGGAATGATATCACCAGGATTAGTTTAGATCAGTGGTTCACAACGTGAGATCCCTTGATCAGCAACAGCAGGGACGAACCGGGACTTGTTAAAAAGGCAAATTCTCTTGCAGGATTCACTGAATCCAGGGAAAGGACTCGGTGATTTTTTTTAACAAGTCCTTCAGGTAATTCCAGTGATTTTAGAGCAATCAGGACTTACACCTGACCTGGGGTTGGATCCAATTTATTCAAGGTGTTTGGATACCTCAAATGAACCAGTATTCATTAGCAAAGAAAGGGGCTTTGCAGCACTGTGAAGGTTATTCAAATTCTCAGAAGTGGTAAATAGAGAACTTTCCCCACTCATCCACTCCTCCTTTCATGACCAATTCTCCGTGAATCCCACCCCTATGCCCATATTACTAACTCTCTTTCTAATGTAACACTGTCTAAACTATAAGCTTCATGAGGACCGGAATCCGATCTGCTTTGTTCACCATCCCACCTAACCCTTACCCAGCACTGTGCTAGCACACAGTAGCCAACCTCAAACTTTTATAAATTAATGGCTTGTTCCTTCTACAAATACTGTACTCAAATGTCCCATTTTTGTGTGGCAATGGAGGGGAATAATTGGAGAAGCAGATTCTGGAAATACACACTAACTCTTGTCCATCATTTGGAGGTGTGGCTAACATCTGAACTCTAGTTATTGAAGCTTTTTCCTTCAACAGGGGCTTTTCCTTAGGAACCAGACCTCCTTACCTCACTCTTCAGCATGTTCTTTCTTCTTTTACCCAGAAGGAATGATTAAGCTTCAAAATAATTCAGTTGGAAGAATCTGAAGATCTAAGTCTCTAGTTCAATTGCAGGTTACATAGATAATAGTAGCTTTATTTGGCTAGAATCTAGTGCAACGTAAACACAAGGTGGTCAGGTGCTGGGTCTAGACAGCCTCCTGTTTAAATCGTGGCTCTGTCTCTAATACTGTGACCTATGGAAAGTTAATTTACTTTTTAAGTATCAGTTTTCTTATTAAAATGAACCAGTATCAACCAGTTC